ACCACCGATGAAGCCTCAGGTTGCAGTTTTGGTGATTTTTTTCACCTTCTTTTAACATGAACGCAGTTCTGAATGCCATGCCAGTTTGCGTTTGCACGGGTATACTTAACTGTCAAGAGTCTGATATTGGAGCCGCTGTTGATGTTAATTTGAGAACTCGAAGAGCATTTTACGCAGTAAATAAGAAAGTTATAATGAACAAGCCATCACTGGCATCAAAACTATTGTACAGGATTTTGATTTTAATAAATCATAAATATAATCGTTATATGGTTCCTAATGTTACGAAACGACCGCCTTAACCTCCAAGGAATCAACTAATTAAATACCATTCTCATTGAGTAAATCTAATCTGTCTTTCTTTTACCGCTTTAGAGATCCAAATAAGCCCTACGACATTCAAACAATGAGTGGAAACTATACCAAGACGTGGCCGACGTTTAATACAAGAACTGAACTCTCACTGCGAATAAGTATGAAATTCGTGCTTATTCCTGACGGCAACCCCATTAGATACGAAAAATGAGAATTTGTGTATAATCAACTTAAAAATTGCAACCCACATCAACCCTAAAACTGGCAGTGATGCTAACTCTTCTAAAGTGATCCACTTTAGAATGTTTTAAATGTTTACACAAAAGTATATCATTAGCCTAAATTTTGAAGAATTCAGCCGAACCGTAATTATCATTCGCTAAATGAAAAAAGTCAAAGAAAGCGCTATAAAAAATTTGAGAGATTGGAGGAGTTACTTATCAGAGCAGCGTTGATGCTTTAAAGTACAGATGCAGACAGAGGGCACGATGTTTAACTATGCTTCCAGAATACAGTGGCCGACTTGGGAATTCCGCCAGTACCTGGGCGATGGCCAGATATCCCGAGGTCTTGATGGCCGATGCCAGTCCAGTAGGGTTCGAGCCTCTGTGAGTCGGCCTTGCCACCCTTTTTTCTATAAACAGAGACACACGTAGAAATGGAGAAGTAAGCTAATAACAATCTCTGCGATCGAAGGATTCCACTGTAGAGGGCCTGGTGTGGGACTCAAGCCTATATCAGGCCTCCACACTACGACGGAATACCAAAACGGAAATACAAGCGCACAGGAATGATTTTAATGCATTCTGTAAATCAAGGCCAGCTAATCTTGCCACGACTTCATGTGCATAACTTTCATGATCCTGAATTCAAGTAACAATTAATCCTATTAAAATACATAATTTTACTTTGAAAAAATTGCAGACAGACGCCCATTAAAGATGACGCTTGATCTTAAAGTAAACCCTACTTCTCTTTGGGTTTCTACTCCAAGTATATAATGTTAATCAAAAAGATCGAAATTTATAGCTATGATCATACCTCAGAGGTTAATTTAGGGTCATTTGAGTTCTAAAAATACCATGTTCTTTAAGTAGTCATACGAGTCAGGAAGTCAGTACACACATTACCTGTTGGTAGAATTGCACAAGGCCAGTTCTAGTGTTCTGACAAGCCCTTTCTCCAAGTGACTTCTTGTTATTGACTAGAAATCTTGTCAAATGTCAGCAGTAAGCCATGGTACATCACAGTTGTTTTAACGCCATGGGAACGTGACCGCAAATATCTAAAAAAAAATATCAAGAACATTACTATACCTCCCTTTTAAGTCACTCATAGTGAAGAATAAAGAGAACTTATGGATGTCTAATTACACTTTAACCTCTTTTATTCAGATAAGCTTGGCAAAGGGTTCACCACCAAACTAGCTCCGGACACACTTCTAGAAGTTTCTTCGGGCTATCGAAAACACTTCACAACATTCTGGACAGAAGTGTTTCCTAAGATGGCCTTTGGACATAGTCGAAGGTCAGAGGCTAAAAACAAAGATATTACGTCATTTCTCACACCCACTTCACATGACAGCAAGAACGAATTAAACACAATTTCAACAACATCTCTCAAAGAACCCAAGGACAAGTCGGTGAACAGCAGACTATTTGTAATTTCAAACAAATCGGTGGAATTTTCCTCATTTTATGATAGAGATCAAGTAAGTTGATGCTGTTGGTGATACTGTGGGACAAGTAAGTGGTAACGCATTGAAAACTGTTTAACCTCCAGATCATTGACATTCGCCAAAAGAACATGGGGTTAGTATACATACTACTTCATTATTCTTTGGTGCGTGTCAGGCGAAATGTCTGAGTACTAAGTTAGTAAATAGCTGCTGTGGGCCCCAGCATGTGGTCTTGAAAAACGCCGCGACCACTGAGTTAACCCTGGTCCGATTACGCTTGACTAATACCGGCGATGAGGAAAAAGATCAGAGAGTACGTGGACACAACCGTTTACTTCAGAGCTCAACAACGTTGGATTCGTTGTATCGTGTGTGGGGCTTGCGCGTGTGTATTTATACCTCGGATGTGTGAGTCATAACCGCGCTAACATCGAGACCTATGTGTGAGGATAATCCAAGACAGATATTCGTGTGAATGAAGGGGGAGTTGAGAATCTGCGCGGCTGACGACATGCTGCGACAGGAGGAACCCTGTGTCGGAGGTGGAGCGACCGGATTAAGGGATGTGAATAAACACGATTCACAACAGCTCTCCCCCTTAGAGAGAGGATTTGGCGAACCTTTTCGTCTACTGTATTTTTTGAGAGGTAGGCCGTAGGTTTCGCGTGATTGGGACGTGGCTGTCCATGTGGGTCGGATTGAGAATTCTCTCTCAACAAGATAATACAGCTAACCTTTTCTCCCAATGCGGGTTCTGAAAGGTAGGCAGTAGGTTTCTGCAATCGAAATGTGGCCCATGTGAATGTAGAAATGAGGCGGATTGTCGTACGCTAGAGGTAAATAAAACACTTGGCATCGTTGTTCGTTTTCGGAAGTCGTTCGAGATGAATCGTTGTTGCCGATATCACATTTTCGACCACTTGAATATCCGAAAGGTTGATCGTTGGAGAAGTCGTGCATGATGTCGAATCGTAAGATCGTTGACGTCTTTCGATCTAGTTGACAGTCAAGAAGTAGGGGACAGAATCGGTTGAAAATATCTGCTGAATGAGCGTCAGAAGTCGAGGCCAATGAAAGTCGAGAGATGTGGCCTTGATGATTAAAAGAGACTCGATGAATGAGGCCAGGTTGTAAGGAGGGGAGAGATTTGTGGTGTAAACGGTGTATTAAATGAAGCACTTCATCTGTAAACAAAAAGGTCCAATCAGGGGGTGTCGAGGTCGGCGAAGAGCTGAAAAGGGCATGGACGAGGCACGACGAAAGCGTGTGAGCACAGCACGCGCGTGTGCACCTAAGACGAACACAATTAGTCGATTGCAAGGCTGCGTGCAGAAATCAGCTTTGAGTAATGCGGGTTAAACCGGTTCCAGTAAAGTAATTCAAGGAGTTTTGGTAAAAGGCGGGAAAATTCAGCTAATACCGTGATGAAACTATCATTTAAATCAAATATGCGATTTCCGTCAGCTTACGCGGTCGAAAGATTTGTAAGTTACCAACTAGACGAATGTTTTTGAATCGCAATTTCATAGAACCTTTGAATTCTCTTCAGAAAACTCAACATTCTGCAAAATATTTGCCTTGTACTTTTTATGTTTTGGCGGACAAAAATGTTTTAAAGATAATGCGTTTTATTGAAACATTCGCTTTAAGAAGGAAACCAACAGAAACCACCTAGGCACGCAAATCTACCTCCCAGGGCGAATTAATCAATTATTAAAACAAATTTCGCCAGACGACCGTAACAAAAATGGAAACTATCTAAGTGTGACCACTTGACAAACAGACAAAGAAAAAAATGGGCAGCAGCGATAGAATCAGTAAATTACTTTTTTTCTACTAAATTATTTGCTTTTGCTTTAAAAGATTTGTGGGATTGTAAAACGAGACAAATTTAAGATGTACCACAATCTAAAGCAGATGCCTCGGCGTCGTCAAAGTCATCGACGGCAACAAAATTGGTGTCTACCAGGAAGGAGTGCTGGTGCCATTCCGTGATCTTTGGCGCACACCACATTGTGGAGCCTACCAGTCTTAGTAGAACCACTGAAAAGGCCTCGGCTCACTTTATGGGTGGTGCTAAGACGGCATTAATTTCGGTTCGTTGTCTCAACGCCTCCATGTTCGTGGTTGGTCTGAGCGTGGAAAAATACGAGGTCTCAACGGGTATAGTTTCCAACGCCGCCTGCACATCAAATGGCCCAGTTCCCATGGCAAAGGTCGTCAAAGATAATTTTGGAATTGTGGGGTGTCTCATGGCAGCCGTTCATCCCGAATTTACGGTAGTTTCCCTCATTTAAAATCAAGGTATGAGGGCTCTACAAAATGGGCGTGATATTGTTGGTACGAATGAGAAAGCCCACAGGATTCCTTTTATTTGCGACGGGCATATGCATAGAGCTATCAGTTAGAAGTAAACAAAAGCGAATGGTAAGGTTGCGCAATGCCAATACCCACAACAGTAATTTGGTTATGTGTGATCAAATTTTGGGTTTGTTTTCGAACGGAAAATGCTAAAGTGGACTACATAATTAAGCTATTGAAAATCACCGTCTGACTTGTACGCACGAATCTGGCGAAACGACCAAGGAAATTAGCATGTTGTGTAAATTCGATGACTTTCTCACATGCCCTGAACTGTACAAGAGTCTGTTTGAATGCAGTTTCATTTGCACATTAATAAGCATTGGAAGGAAGGAAAGGTTGTGCAATAGATTATACATTAAAATCTCGTTTAGAATGAGCTTTGGTTGGGTAGTTTCCAGATGACGTCTTTCGCGTTGAAAGTTGAATATGAGTCACTAAAGATCTCACAGTTTAATAAAATGAAAAACGCCTTTGTTCAGTACTCTGCTATCTACCCACCGTGCGGAATGCCTACAATGAAAACTACAAGGAGCGTATTTGAGAACCGGCTTCTATATGTCCACAGTCTATTTCTTCATTGTGTTACACAGATTGCTTCTAAGAGTTGGCCAGAATGGCTTAACTCAAACTAAGTCATATAGCAAGACCTGGTATGGTCGTCATTAATTGGGGTTTTTTGAGGTTCGAACACAAGACACGCGACCTTTTGCTGTTGCAGAAAGGGTCAAATAGAAAAGGCGTTTTATTGTATGCGTGTGGCAGGCATGAAGTGGCGTGTACGGTATTATTAGATGTTCTTCGCTGCTAGATGCCTTTTGCCACCTCCTAACAATAACAATGTTTCTCATTCGGATTATTTCAAAGGTACCGTCTCCATTAATCAAGGAGGCTAGGGAAGGTGACAAGCGAGTCCTCCTACTTACAATCATTGTCGGCCTCTCTCTCTTTCTCCTTAACGTTGTCTTCACCACAACCTTCTATTTCTTTCTTCAACAACGAAAAGTACGAGCCAACAGCACCCTTATTGCAGCTTCCGAAGCTGACCAAGGCGAAAACAGTGAGATTCGGATTCATAAACTTCCTTATTTCAATGAACAGATTTAGAGCAATTACATGAGGCGAAGTCCGTAGCCAGCTAAATCTGAGTCACTAGCTTCATTTGTTGTGCCGTGAAGCCTCTGGTCATTACGCCTGCGCCTCGGTCTATGGTAGCCGGACCACTTGAGGATGAGGCAGGCCAAAGTAAAATAAGTAGGCTTGCACTTCGAGTACATTCCGTATTCAGAAGTCCTGTGCACGTACGACACATCTCACATTAAAATGGACGTTTGTTCAAAGGACCGAGTTGAGCGGTGAAAGTATGGTGTCGAAAAGGAGTGCGTCAAATGTAGGCTTTCTAATTTCTTTTTTTTAACTTGTAGAAAACGACCAAATCACTAAGCCCGTTAATGAAAATTCACGATATCCCCAACAAGTGGTGACGTTATCAGGACTTGAGTGTGCCATGGAAACAGAGTTCCAAGCAACAGCAGCTGCAGCAGCGACGATGTCGACCGACTTCCACAGAGTTACTTTTGGGGCGCTACAGCAAACCTCTACTCCGCACAGACATTCCACACTGAATGTGTACCAGTCTGGAAGTAATAGGACGACGCCTTTATTAAACCGACAAATCTTGGCCACGCTGGACCCCAATTGGAATAGAGGTGCATCCGGAGGACCCAGTTTCAGCATTATTTGATTAGCCGAAACGAACTGGTGCACGCATCCTTGCTAAGTTACAGCAATACGTGACGTCTAAAAATGTACCACTACAATTTTAAGTTGTATCCTTTTCATGGAAATCACGATTGAACAGTAAAATATTAAGTAGCGGTTTGCTACGGCACTCGGAATTTTTTGTTACGCTCATTAGGCACCAGTAAGCTATGCTGGAATGCAGGGAACCACAGTTCAAATGCAGGCATTCGATTAATGCAGTTACTACAGAAAATAAGAACGAAATGAAGATCTATTTCTGGGCTCAAACAAACACCAAACATCGGCAACAAGCATTGATCATAGATTGATTACACAGCTGACTACCTGAATGTGGTTGGCAATACATAAAATCTAGAATATAAAGAGTGATCCAGGTAATCGGACGTGTTGATTGCTAAACATTGGGGGCATTGTATGCACACCAGAAACAGAGGACCGCAAAGGATTCTTAAGTCCACAATTAAACTGAGGCCAAGGATGCTTGCGGCTGATTATGAAGAAATTACCTGGTGTATACTCGTTTCAACACAGTGATTAGGCACTAAATACGACCACATTTAAAGCGCAATGGGAAAATCGGGACAAAAGTCCCTTGGGTGATGGTTTAAATGATGTGAGTGCGGATGGCACAACTTAAGGTGTTGGGATTTATTCAGCTGAGCAACCAGACAAACATCGGAGAGGCAGATAAACAAGGGTGAGTAGGCAAGAACGGAGGGTGAAACTCCTGGCCCGATCCCTGGCAACAGAACACCAGATAGTCCTACTTCGGAATTTTACATGTAAGACCCTCTAGAATAATCGCGCTACCTCGAATCTTGGATAAATGTGCATCTTTCCAGATCGCAAAAAACATCGAAACTACTAGGCAATGATGATGCGACCGTTTACTTAGCAATACACCCACCTTGCAACAAGAGGCACTTAAAGCAAAAACGGAATCTCACTTTTCCTTAACAGAAGTAGTCTGAAAGAAGCTTTTGCCAGCTTAGTGTTTACAAACAGTGCAAACTACTTTTTATATAATGCAAAAGCGTGCGGAGCGATACGAAAGCCAACAGATCGGCTGGTCAATCCACTACGTTAACTTGAAATTCATAATTTAAGGGCACAGTGGATTCCCTCACAAGCACACTCAAATGCGTTGAAGCCCCACGGCCAAATTATGAAAGCAGTTGCAACAATGGGTTTATTTTGAATTCGGGTGTACAAACGTCGTAAAAAAACAGACTATAGTTGTGAACATACAAAAGTGAAAGCTCGCATTCACCCAAGATACTTTTCTTCCAAACCACGGATGAGCAATTTTTCACCAGGCAATTTTGGTCCCCTTCGCTCCTGGAAAAAAAATGAAAAGCGCCACAATTAAAGCACTGTGGAAATGCAATTACGACGACTCCACGCAATGAGGATCACGGGGGAGAAAGTTAGGACAGCAAAAAAGAAGTTAACTTACAGAAATGGCACCAGTTTTTTCATACAGGGACTCGCCACAACTACTAAAAGAATGGAAAAATCGAAGTTAAGATTCACGGCACAAATAAACGGCATGCTGCGGTAGTTTGGCAGTAGCGTGTTTGTCTGACTTCAGTGCATGATTCCGATTGAAATGGCTGTTTGTGGTGGGTCCAGGGCGGGTGGGAAAAGATTTGCCGTAAAGACCGCACCTTCTACACTTGAGACCCACGAAGCGGTCAGAGTACTTGGTGAAACAAAGTTGTATGAAGGTGAACGCTTGCTCCGTGGTGGCTCAGCTGCGACTTTCTATTCACAATTCTACCCACCTCGTAATAACAAATCTCGATGAAAGTTGTTGTGGCGCCCTTAAGGAGAAACAAAGCCCCAGAGCCACTGACACTGGATGAAACTCCCGCCTATGGAGAGCAGCAGCGTTCAACTTGACAACCCACAGCCCAGAGTGAATAGACCAATTGGGAAGGTCCCACTGAACAAGGCGTCAACAATGTAAACCTGAACACAGTTCAACCTCTGCAGTGAGACCTCGAACTGATGAGACCAAATGACCTAACGTTGCTTTCAACGTGTTGATGTCAACAGCCTCATGACCCAGTATGGTTGCCCTCATGAGACAACGTAAGAATGAAAAGCTTCGCCAAAATGCGGTTTGCGATTTACTTAAAAGACGACATCGCCACTGAAACCCAGTCAGGAAAAGTCTAAATTCCTTATTGTAGGTGTTGCAGCGGATCCAGCGGAATGGGTGAAGGACCCCGGGTCGAATTAAGGTTTTTGAATAACCACCAGGTTACCAGACGCGCACTGCGCGGCACACCAGCCACCAGTTCGTGGCATGCAGTTTCGAAAACTGAAAAGGTTCAATCAACGCAAATCCAAAATAAGCTTGATGGGACCACCGTAAAACGGACAGGGGCCTAAGAAACAATTAAAATGACCGAAAACACGGAAGTTGAAGGAAGAACTCACGTGCACGCATACTGTGGGTAGCGATCAAGTGTGCTTGTTCTTGTTTTACAATTTCTGCAGGCAAAGAATCGCCTAGTGGCGGTGGTGATTTCCAATCTATGTCCCTCTTTGCGACAAAGTCGCCCAGCACGCAATGATCGGTAGTTGCACTGAGAAAAAAACACGTATTAGCAGACACATACCTTGGGAAGCCATTAGACGCCGACTTACGAAGCCAGCACATTTAGAATGGATGGGTTAAAACAGCAGTAATGCAAGATGCAGCTATTTTTAAAGATAATAAATAGTATTTTTTTGCAATTAAACAACGTTAGTTGTTCAGTGTGTTTTTGAACAGGGGCCATAAGCGTCTGCTTAATAAAGCGAAGTGCCTGGTGTACCTTTACAGGATTCTACTCAAACCCACCTGCCTTCCTGCACAAGTGCAATCTAGCAAATACGTAGCTGGGCCCAGCTTGTGCATTTTCCCCCGATCATAATTCACCGCCCCCCCCGCAACTCCGCGGGGTATAGCAGCGAGCTGAGTGCTTTTGAACTCACTTCCCGCAACCAATTGTGAGAGGAATAAATAAATCACCAAATAAAACAAGCCAATGAGAGAGTGAGAGAATGCCGGCTAGTCTTGAATGAAATAGGAATATGACTGGAGTAGAGATCTTCAAACTACGAAGGCGTCATTTCAGCGTATAAAACTCGACGACGCTGGTCATTTGCCAAATGGGAAGCCGCGCATTAGTTTGATTACAGGAAGGCCAATTTAATTAAGCAAGGGGGTAGCGGGGCATGAGGTGAATTCTACAAAACTGAAAAGGGACCTCCCGGGTGAAGGGTACAATCAGTTTTAAAAATGTTACGTAAATCTATCAACGAGCACCGAGGCTGTTCAAATCTGCTACAAACATTGCCATGAATTAAGGAACCTCTCTAAAAGTAGGTTGATCGAACTCTCATTAGCCGTAAGATATACTCTACAAGAGGTAAATCTAACTTTACGTCACCGTTATCAGCATACATGTATGACGAACCTACCCCAAAAACTCAATTTCGCAGAATAATAGGGTTTGGCTTTAAGAACAAGCAATGGATCAAGAAGGAATTCAAAATTGCACCGCATTGCCGAATATCTAAATGGACTCCTGCTACTTATTCTCGTCCATGGGAAACAGCTACCTCCGACATGCAGCAGCTCAGCATAGGTGCACTCGAGGGAGATTTTTTCAGTGTCCCGGATCCAGTGCGTATCTGCATTCCCATAATGCCACACCGTGCAAATTAAAAGTTGCCCGAGAAGAGATTAGCTTCAGAGCATAACAAATCCACCTGATAAGAGTTTTAGTCTAAGGTGGGACACAAATTCTGGCATTCTTCGGTAAGATAAAACATCCTGTGAAAAAGTGAAAGCTTTGTAGACTTACCGTAAGACATGTAACGACCTGACACTCCTGTTCGTGTTGCCCTAACAAATGCTCCTCGATGCTATCCCGTGCCTCAAGACGAGATAGCAGCCTCTTTTCAGCAAGGACTTCATCGGCTGCGGCAAGATCGCTGTGGCTCGATCCCTGACTCACAAGCTGCGCAAGTTCGTGGTTTGCATGTCTTCGTTTCTCCGAGGCAGCCTTCTCTTCGTCGCGATGTGTCTCCTCGGGATCCACATTTCCTGAGGGGGGTGGTGCCGTGTCTAGCACCTGGGAGAGAGGGCTGAAGTGCACAACGGGTGAGCAGATAAACAATTTGCTCAGGGCATGACGTCACGAAGATGAACAACAACTTGCTAGGTTTGCGCATAACTTACTTGGGAGAAAGGCCACAAGCACACAAAATGATGTATGATTGTATATTAACAAATTCCAAAAGATTAACGACATGGATTCACGGTGGACTAGGTAAAAGAGGCTAATGACGACATATGGCCAAAACGCCAACTCAAGTGGCAATCAGTGGTGCTTCTAACACCAGTGATGGTAATTTAAACAATCCACTCCAGCTGACGCAAAACATCATGCGACTTTACGTACGATGGCCTAGGCCTTTTAGACGCGGAACGCGAGACGACTTCAGAGAGTCTTTTTTGAGTTCGCTCCCGCTCCAACCGATCCAAGGCTTCAACACCTCCCTTAGAACGAACCAGAGCCTCAATTCGTCGACGTGCTCCATTAATGGAAGGTAGGACTGTTAAAGCGCCAGTATGGGTCGGGTTTGAGGTTGAAATTGGGCCCAGGTCGATGAAATTATCGTTTTCTGAGGCTGGATCAATTCCACGGCACAGTTGCGGTCCAGCGGCTTTCTCCTTTTGCAATAAAAGGTTTCTTTAAAATGATATTTAGACTAGTAGCATGCTGAACCGATGTGAATGGCACTGTACTTACTTGTACCTTCTTCTTCGCGTCTGCGAAGAATGAAGCAAATGTGCCGTCCGAACCTGATGGAAGCAGCGTCTTCAATGACCGACTCCGAAGTGCTGAGTTATTTGATTTAGATTTATCATCACTGAGGGCTTCGAGATGACGAAGGAGGTTTAAGGAGCCGCGAGAGGGACGGGAAAGGCGGGAGGCTAAAATGTTCTCAGATTTGGAAAGTTGGGACTTCGAAACACCACTGGCACTTGAACTTAAAGTCAATGAAGATGATTCCATTACATATCCCGACGAAGTCAGCTTAGCCTTACTTAAGGCCACACGTTGAGGCGGTCTAATTTAAGAAAGATAAGATTACTGGCAGAAAACAACCAGACAAAAGCCTTAATGCCGTATTTTTTGAAAAGTGTTGGAATTATTGTAATTGATTTTGCAGCTCTGATTGAAAAGGAACAGACGACCAAAATAACTGACTTCTATAAATTGACTGTTTCCAGATCATGGAATTGCTAGTGACAGGTTCGTCTCCAGAAAAAAAGGTTGTTCATTTCAACAAGCAATTGCCGTGAAAAAAAAACATTCTGTACTCAAAGAAATCATCAGCTGTCACTGGTATAAATGTATCAGATGTAATAGACTGGCATCAACCGTGGTTTGGGACAGTAGTTGGCATGGGCTGGGTTGCTCCACAACCGGTATTGAACAGAGGACCAGCTAATGGTCTGCGGACGTTTCCACTTTAACAGCAATTACCTTCGACTAGCAATAGCGAGGGGTTTAGCACCACTAAATTGGACTCCGACATGCTCTTGCGAGTTTCTGCCAACTGGCAGGCGATTTGCCCGAAAGAGCGTGACAAAGGCTAAGCAAACACATCTCAGGAAAGTTAAGCGGCAGAATTTCGGACAGACACGGTTGTTCAACCCACGGGCTAAGTTGAATGCCCACTACAACATTGCAACTTTCAAAAATAATTGATTCAGTGGTAACCTTTCAGAACAAACAGCGCAGTTTTTAGCAAGCTTGCGTAGTCGCCATGTGAAAGTGAAATTCAAATGAGAAAGACGAAAACTTTGCAGATTAGCTAACCGTGAGCTTTGTTTTATTACTTGACAACGGGTTGAGAATAGTGGTTTCCACAAGGGCTGTCAGCATTACCGCACGTTTCGCTACTGAACTGCGATATCGTGGGAAGTCAATAAAACGACGCGGTGTGAAGAAAGAAGGAATTCCCCCCGTCCATGAAGTGAATGGGCTTGACGAAACTAAATCAAACCACGGCAAGGCTTATGCGGGGAAAAGGCGAGGAGGTTGTTGGGGCGAAACTGCTACAACCTATAAACGCAGTTATTTCCAACAAACGTTGTACTTTGTGCACATTTGCCGTCTTTTCCGCAAAAAGCACTACACTATAGTTAGAGGTGTGCAGATGCATTAACTGGCCGCTTAAATTTAGAAAAAATTCAATGATAAACCTACGTTTGGGAATCACAAGGAAAACTTTTGTCTTGATCCCGATTGATAGGCATGGAGGCGGGACGATTAAGCGAATAGTGCGCAGTTTGTTGGGAAAACACCGAAGGATAGGGGGCTGCTCTGCCACCGCGACCTCTGCCGTGACCTGTTCTCGGGAAGCTGCAAGACAAGTACAAACCACGGGGAAAGTCGACGAAAAAAATCATTATGAGTGCACTCGTCAGTTTTGACGCCACAAGCTCCAAACGTGGCCAATGAGAATAGTCAAGTTCAAATTACGGTGGAAAAGGACGACTCCCTGACAAGATTGCAGCTTTCATTTCACTGAAAGCTCTTTTGGCTAGCGTGCCAATAAACATCACCTCCTTTTCGTCTGAAGAACCACTTAGTCTATGAAGCGATATCCCTAGGGTGCGGCAGAGAAAATTCTCGGATAAACACGATATCCTTGGGTACTTGTTGAGAAAATATCGGCACTCTGAGCGTTTGATGATTCGACTGGACACCGAGTCACTGTTAGGGAAAATTACGGAATCCCTGACCGAAATATTGCGCGTTTTTTTAGAAAAAAAGTACTGCTGGGAGAATTTGATACTAGTCGATTTTCTAAAAACGGTGCAGAGAAAACCGAATATACTTACGAAGAAGACGTGAAACCGGGGCGGCTGCTACTGGCGGAATAATATGCGGCCTTTACGTGGAAATCGCAGTAACGACAGACGTTCCTTAAAACAGAAATAATTATCTTCATTTCCCAGATATTTAGGTTCTTCTAATTAATGGCCTCATACATTAGAAAAATTTAATGACTTTAATTTACCAGTGAGATTGGGTGCAAACGGAGAATTCGAAAGTGTAATAAGATATGTCTACCTACAATATTTAAGTAGGAAAACATATTAATCGAACATAAAACGAATATCGGCCGCTGCGGTTGTTAATCTATTTCCATTTCAAAAACAAGTATTTGTCAACTGTTTGAGAAAACGCATGAAAACAAATTCAGGCAGAGATTATACTGGACCAAGGGAGAATGTCCCTGGACGCGTCGGTGTAGGTATCATGTGCGTCAGAGTGCTAAGGTCAAGAACACCACAGTAAATGGGCGCGTCGAGCGGCCTGACAGGCCTTCTGTACGTACTTATTCACAATCCGCGTGCAGGGTCTCCCAGCCTTGGTGGTGCCAGCACAAACAGCAAAGTCCGGAGAGACGCCAAGAGGCATCACGAAAGGAGCCGAGTCCACGGTGATGGATAGGTCCGTAGCGGCATTACACGAGGCGTCGTTCTTTCAGTAGTCAAAAAAGCATTAAAACGAATTATTTTTCTTGGTGTCGCATACAAAATCATGCAGCAACGACTCAGTCCGTTGTTTTGTTACGATAACGCTCAAAAATGCCACAACCGCAAGGCCCGACTTTACCAATCAATTGAAATTACAAAATTTTAACACAAACATGCGTGAATTAGTGTGCGTTCGAACTACGTGCCTAATTATTCTGTGGCCAGTTAATTACAGACAGCAAAACGAGGACCGAGTTATGGTGACTAAATGCCCTGCGAGTAAATGCACTGGAGAAATTCAAATAAATGTATACACATACCTCGTTCGAAGGAAGCAGTTTTGGTTTAAGGACGGCGATGACAGTGCCTTCTGGTTCCTTCCACAACTTTTCGTGAACAGCTCCAAACAAAAAGATGCTCACATTGGGGCCGTTGGTGGACCCCGTTCCCACACTAGCCAGATCAGTCAGTCGCCAAATTGAATAGATTTTGTTGTTACGGCTCCGACGTGGTGGCACCTTCGTGCCAATCACACCAACCAGAACTGTCATCTCGGTCTGCAGGTTTGAACCATTCGCTGCTTTGACTTCACGCACGTACTGGTGGAGACCAAAGACGCGTCGGTTGCACGTTCGTGTCATCCACAATTCGGACGAGATCTGAGGGCGGCTGACGACGTTAACAAAATGACAATCAAGCATCACCATCAGTGGAGACTTACTACCACAAGTAACTAATTAATTCCTCAAAAGGAAAAAACGACATTAGATATAGCTTTCATAAATTAATATGCATGCATACTTTAAAATAGGATTGAAAATATGCAATACAGAATTGCTTTTATAGTCTGCCAGGTATGGTTCCTGCACAAATGCCAAAAAAGCACGATTCCTACTTGCGCGGCGGGACACGACTGAAGCACACCACAGAGTCCCAAACGAATACCCTAGCTTATGAGAATAGACTGAAAAGCACCTCCTGGCGGCGTATGAATGCGTTCGCAGAAGCTCGAGGCCAAAACGAGCGTAAGTGGTCTGTGCAGGCACCTTGGGAGTTTGGCATGCAAGATAACACAAGAGTGCTTACACAACACGAATGTTTGTTGGTGTAGCCACGAAGCAGTCGCTGGCCTTTGACGAGGAGTCATTCGCCTGAGAACCACCAGCTGACGTTACTACGTTAAAAATAGGAATACATTTTCAGCCAATCAGAAGAAAGTGTTCCATGTTTACCAACTATCTGGATTCTATTAGACGGCGATTGAAGCAATCAGACAAGAGGTTTTCGCAGATCACATCACACAGTCATTACCAAACGCTAACGAAAATTTGCGGGATTACGGAATCCGGGTTTACCAAGACGGAGCGTATTTCTTCCGCTGACGTAAAAGTCAAGTAAAATTTTCAATGTGCATGTACACCTCCTATCAAGCCACGATGTAACACATAATTTCCACAAGAAATCTGACAATCTATACTGAAACAGCTGCCAAGATGTTGGAGAAAATAATCTGACTTTAACAATTAGTGGGGTCTACGTTTAAATCTTTGTCTAACTTAAATTCAGGTCATCGAACATCTTTCCTGGCGAAACAAAGACATCGTTCACTGAATCTCACGATAAGTATAAATTTGTAAAAAGAAAAGTAGCTTTTCGCTGCTTGATAAGTTGAGTGTTGAATTTGTGGGACTAATAGGCAATTTCGGTTTAAGCTGCAAGTGGTCGCCTTGAATAGCTTATCATCTAGCTTATATCCCTCATGACACCGCCTCATTTCCAAGTTGGTAAAATTGACTCAAAATGGTGTGCTCAAAAAGCCAACCCTTGATTCCACTTTAATTTACAATAAAGGTCAACATCAGGACTAGTCGACAAAAAAACAACAAATGAAATTAAAGTAGTTAAAAGACACCGAAAACCGAAATCGAAAATTTCTCCATGAAGCAATACTACTTCCTGCTTCAAGCATAAATTCAGACCGCATCGTCCCAGAAATTGTCTTTTTCACTTTTTGTTGCTCTAAATGAACACGACCGCTCACTCACTCCACCCACTCGTGTATTAACAAGGACGAGCGCCCACAAGTCGGTTCTTAGATGGAGCCCTAAGACTTGGAAATGCATACATGTATCCAAGTTCTCAACTTGATGTATGTGAAACAAGCACAAGGAGCCACTGAGGGGACGTTAAACATATGTAGATCGAAACATAGAATCAAGTAGCGACAGCAAGAATATAACTTACATGCAGCGTTACGTTTAGCCTCGCACAATTTTAGGGCCTTTTTCTGCGCTTCAGTCAAGCGATCAGATGAAATGCTATCCACGGTTTGTTTGTCAGCAAGAATATGTCGTTCAACATCCCTTTCTACGCGCCGTTTGTGCCTGTCTGATGCCTCACTGGATAGCGATTCCTGGATTTGCAATCCGTAATCATTGAGGTCAGATCGTCGTGCTATAGAGGGTATTAGCAAATACGACTGAAATTTCGATGGTACACATGATAATGTGCATTTTTGGATAACATACCGTCCGTATAGCTGAGGACGTCATCATCTTCGTTAGCGGTGATCTGCGCGTCACTAGCCTCCTGGTTGGAACGCACAGGACCGAAAAGTTCCGCAACTCCGATGTCTTTATAGGAAGTTGACAAAGAATTATGAACACGGAATTCCTTACTTAAACAAAAAACGGAAAGTACCGGCAGATTTTAGAAGGCGAAAAGGTAGCGAGCTGTCCAAAACTAATTACTTATTTTGAAACATGGAAGACGCTTAGACTTCAGGATGGAAAGTGGTTCGAAGTGCAGGTGAACAGACAGGTAATAAAGTAGGCCTGAATCGACTGTTTGATTTAAAAAAAGAGCGAAAGACTGGGTGGTTCTTGAAGCATTATAGTCAACTTCTGAAAGCCCGACAATGTTTAGTATTAACGACATCCTTGCCACATACCCACTCCCACCGACACTTATTTGGCGCGTTTAGTTGACACACAGGGGCCAGGTTTACCAAACCAAGCATACTGTACGCACGCGGGACCAGGGAGTTAGGAGTAAGATGTGATGTGTGATCTACCGGTACGATGGTATAAGCATACACCAAAACAGACCAATTCAGTGAAAAGGAAAATATTGCTTGCAAACGATAATTATGAAGAAGTTTCGGCATAAACAAAATTTATACACAGACAATTATGCCTGAGTAGACGCACATTCTACGAATAAACTCACCAGTAAAAGTCTGACGGCTTGATAACGGAGGCGGGATGGACTGCTGAGTGTAAAGTGGAACTTCTTTCACATAATTGGCGTTTTCCTCCTCCTCCTCCTCCTCTCCCTCTTCCTTAACGTCATCCCAGTCGGAACTGTCAGCTGAGCTCCCCTCATCGTCGTCTTCTTTATCACTATGGGCGAGAAATTCGTTAATTTCATCGGGTGTCAGCGAATTGACTGCGTGTTGAGGGCCTCCGCATCGACCCGATTCCGCTCGCTGCCCTTGGCTCCCGCTCTCCGAACAGAGCCTACTTACTGACTGGCCTGTCGGCTCCTAGTAAGTAGGGAAGAAAATCCACTAGGTACCATAAACTCAATATCACTTGAGCGTGATGAACATAGTAAGCAGGAAAAAATAAGTACGCGTACAAAGCAGAACTCGTCTACGTGCATTATAAAATCACTCCATCACAACAACAAACTGAGAATAAAGACTCAACCCATTTGAACAATACTCTTTATTTACAAGGTGGCCGCATAGTATACCGGCGAATACACTGAGACAAATTACGCCAGCGATCAATGGAGCATACTGTAGCTTTTCTAAACTTTGAAACTGCATTGTTTAACGGCCGCATTTCATTAAAAAGTACACCAAACAACTCTGCACGCTAAGTGATTCTGCCTCAACAGGAAGCATGCAAAAATTGACCCCAATAATAGCGTGCACTTGAACAAGAAAATTCAAGTGGCATTCAAATTCAGGCAGTTATGATTGCCAATTTAACTGGTAATCATGAACGTTCCAGTGTGAAAAAGAAACCAAAATGTTCTCGCTGAGAATATAAAGCTCAAGTCTGTACTTGGCACCCGTTTACGGCGCACGTAATGACAAATGAATACTCGAAATTTCGCAAAAAAAAACTGATGTTAAGAAAAAAGTAATTTAGAATTGGCAGTGAAAAAAGCAAATAAAGAAAACCCTAGGTCACTGTAGCCTTTTCGTCAGGTCGGTTGATCGGAATCAGCGCCAATGACACAACACATGCCATATTTCGATTCGGCTACTCGGCATCACCGGCAGCAATTTCGCAGGTGATGATGAAGCCATCAAGTGGGAAAGGATCCAGTCGAGATGGGGGGGAGGGGGCGAATTCCCAAATTCGGCAACTTTAACTTGGACTAGCAGGAACCTAGGGGAAGCAGGCACACGCATTGGTCTGCGATCCCCAGCAAGCATGTCTCGTCCTGCGCACGCCCACTCCTTCCCGCGTGTCAGTGTGCCTCGGGCACAAGGAGCTCGATTTGCCGTGCGTGTCACAGACCTGCGAAAGGGTCTTTTCGTAGCTATTGCAAATGCGCGGTGCCGCGGCACTCGACTGCGTTTTCCACAGGTCGCACGAATACCTAATATTTACGCATCAAAAAACAAGTGCGATTGGCGGCGCGTTGTGTGGGTTACCGGCAAAGCCTGAGCAGTAGCTGGTGTACTACAAGTTTATTTCGGCACAAAGTCTGCGCGAAACTGCATTTTTGCAAGTTCTCTCTCTGTATACAAGCATCGTTTCTTTATTCCATAGGATGGCCGTTCTGTGGTATTCCTGATCTTAGGACTCCGACACAGACGCGTCCAGGGACATCATTCTTTGGTCCAGTGTAATCTCAGCGTGCGCTTGTTTTCGTGCGTTTTCTCAAACGGTTGACTAATACTTTTTTTGAAATGGAAATAGATTAACAACCGCAACGGCCAGTGTTCGTTTTATGTTCGATTTCATCGAACCTGGATGAAAATTATGAAAATTTTTGATTCCCGACTCCATACTAAACTATATATTTCTACCGATGGATTTTTCATACGCATGTCAATTTTGAGCTATATCAGCTTTACATTTTGGGTAGTCAAAGTTGGATCACTTTGCACAAAATAGGGTCAATCAAAGTCGAGCCTTAAGTTTACTTTATCAGTTATAATAAGAATCTGCTGACTCCGGACGGATTCAGTGGCTTCACAACAGGTCGTTCGCAAATGTACTAAAACTGGCTTTGAATTAACATCGAAGAATACCGGCCTGAGTAAATGGAAGTAAATAAAAAATAGCAACAAGCGTACGAGCGGCGACCACAAAAGATTGCACCATCAAAAGAAGTACCACGTTTTCTGATGATATCACCAGAGCAAACTTTGGTACACATTTAATTTATTCAAGGTTTGCAAGAAACTTCACCGATGTGATTTTACCTTGATAGTTGAGCAAATTTACTCCACCTGATTTTCGAAGCAGGCAAGATAGTGAGAAGCAAAGAAACAAGTTGGTGCCTTTTTTCGTGGTGACACGAAAGCATAATGTGTAAAACATTCTCCTTCGCCTGTATAAAAGAGTCATAAACGGTGAGTGGAATTAGTTTCCACACACGGCAGCCACGGGACAGAGCGGAAGAAATAAATAGGTTTGTGTAGAAGAGTATATTTACTCAAAGGAAGATTCTTTTCAGACATGCACATGTTGATTGCACAGTGACAACTGACAAGAGGTATATACACGAGGTTTAAGTTGGAAAACACTAAAATCTAACAAAAGTAATGGTCGTGGCGCGAGAAATGGCCAGAATAAGTAGTCGCGTAATGGTGAAAATCTCGATGGTGTCGACCGTTAAGCCGTTTTCTGGGCGAGGAACTTTCGCAATAACTACCACTAAAAGTGCGGTCCCGATCTCTGTTGACATGGTAAATATTCTCGTGGTAGTAGGCTTTGTCATGGGAATGACTATCGTGCCTATGATAACTACCTATGGGATAGTGGTCTTCAAATACGTGGGTTTGATGGCAGCCATAAGCAAGTCTTCTCTCGCCTTGTCGAAATGAATGCCCACGCTCAGGAAGCATAACGTCGGAGTAATTTTTTGCATAACTTGATGGCGATGATTGTTTTTCTTGGCTGCAGTTGTCGCCAGAAACAGGACTTCGTGAACGCATCGACTTAAGAGCTGGCTCATCCCCCTCGCTTTCTACTGCTGTAGAGCAGGACTGAATATCTTTGACCCGTTTAAGTGTTTCACGAACGCGCTTATAAGCCCCCTCGGCATTAGGCGGGTTTACATAAGGCTCATAAGGTTGAATTCCGGAACTAAACGCCTCAAAATCAGGGCGTTTGTCTGAAGTAGAAGATACGTTTGCAGGATTCACGGGTGATGCTGAATCGGCGGTTGCGTTTTTGATTAAATAGATGTTAAATGGAATGGTGGTGCCTTCCTCGAGCACTGGTGACAATTGGCGCTCAGTTATGGAATCGCCACCATCCACTTTGTTGTCCTTTTCCTGTCTATCCAAATGTGGAGAAACACTATCCTCCCCGGGCATTGCTTCACTGGAAGGACCTACAGGGCAAAAATCAGGATCAAAGAAAACAAATACGCGACCTACAACTTTTCCGCCTTACAACATGGCCAACAATTCAACAAATTGAAGTTATTTTTGTGACATGAATAGTTTAAACTAAAAATGAATTAAAGTGCTTTTGGATGAAAAACTAAGGCTTTAAGGAACTTAACTATGTAAGCAATGTGGACATCATCAGCACACAGTAAATTTGGCATTTTGGTCAAAATCGGAATAGCCCGTTCAAACATCTTTTAAAACGCATGTATTCGAAAAGACTGTCTGACAACGAAAGGAATGAAGTTAATGACAACGTGCTCAAAGGTGGAGATAATGATTCAAGGATTTTACAAATGTCGTTTGGGTTCACTGATAGGTGAGGTATGGATAAATTCAAGCTAACAGACTCACACTTGACACAATTTAATGAGCTACGTGAAATTTTGGCACCTTCGATGAGACCTTGAGTTATCTGACCATAATTCTATCAAATGGTTACTAGATTATTTCATTGGGCAAATTTTTTTAACGTTGAATTTTTATGCAATGGAATGTGGATGAATACAATTGTCCAACAGTTTGCGAATATGGAAAACGAACGACACGAATAGACCTGCGTGGGTGTCTGTCAATACCACCTCGCCCTTGGGCAAGGAGAAGACTTGGCGAATTTTGGTTGAAATTTTGAGTTTAAATTGCGCACACTTTTAAATTTTGGTTTATCTTCTCTGGGTAGCCACGTATTTCGACCACTGACAAAAAATTGAAGAACTAAAAACAAACAGACTGGTGAATACTTACTTTTACATGAAGTGGAATTAATACAAGAGAGCAAATCCGGTTCAGGTGTTCTGTTACGACTGACGAGTTCCTGTGCAAGTGTCGACCCACTGAAAGCAGGTTTTGCATTTAACAACATATTTTGCTTTTCGTCAATTTTCTCTAGAGGGAAAAGAGTTTGGAGGTAAAAAATAATTTCCAAGAATTACGTTTAGTAGAGCGATTCTCTACATCATCGTTGCTAACTTCACCCTCCTCATCAGAGACCATGATAATGGTGGAAGCATCAGTTTGCGAACTCAGGAAAACAGAGATGGAACCTGGTCAAAAATAAGAAGGATGCTATGGTGGAGAGAACAGTACAAAATCAATCTTCTAAAAGCAAACCACACGCGTTTGAAGTGCGAGTTTTACCGGTTATACTCCACCCACAACTTAGTATTAGCACATAAGAATGTCTCTATGACGTGTAAACAGAATTGGATCACATTTCACAAAACAGACAAACAAAATACCATGTTTTATTTGCACATAACCAAACTTTAAGTTCTATGGTTCATAACTTCGTCATGAATTTAAAATTTTAAAAAGTAAAAAGGATGTAAACGAGACTGAGGAACCATTTATTACGATTCATAACTGAATTAATTTCGCCTTCTGTTAAATGTTAAAATAAAAGGTTAAGATGAAAAAATAGTATTTTTAACACTTGGTCTCCGTGAGTAACCGTTTTTCCAAACACTATCAAAGATGTTGCGTAATTCCTTGCTAAATAGAGTGGTCGAATAAAAAAACATGGCTATGCAGTCATTTAAAAATTGGTTTACCGTTGGATAATGTTTAAAATAAAGAAAACTGTTTTTTGACTGATTTACGCCTTGTCATCTAGTAAGACTAATTTTTTCCTTAGATGCAATGGTTGTACTTAATAAACCAGTACTTAACCATCAACCCAATGATTGTGGTGAGCAAGGTAGTGAACAGAATAAGAGCAACTTACTCGAGTCAGAATTGCTAAGAGCAGTTATTTCAGCCAAAAGTCGTTGACGTTCACCTTCAAGATCATTTAAACCTAAATATTCATAATTTGTTAGTGTTCGATTAGCTTATAAAGGATATTGACAAATTGATTGCATCTCACGGTACGTCAATAAATCAAAAATGTGATTTGTTCAAGAGATATGTAAATGACAGATGCGAACCTTTGTTTGCTAGAGATTCCTTGTACCGACGGGCGGATTCCTCAGATTTGGCCGTTTCACCACGAAGAGATGCAATGAAATTTTCCAATAAATGACACTTTTGAATGCTGGGGCAACGAAGTACGTGGTAATTGTCGCGTAGTTTACTTGAGTATACATTGAAGCCCGGATACTCGATTATTTCGTCCTCATTGTACCTAACTGAAATCATTAAACTCAATGACGGCTTAAGACAATCCACATAAGAGCAATATTTGACAGGAATTCGGTAGAGTAACTGATAATTTAAACATATCTAAGGCGAATGGGCATTCAGATCTTGATGCACCCACATTTCTTACAGATCCGTTCGAAAATGAGTAATTAAGGTATTTATTACCCCTGAATCTGCATATAAAATGATTTTAGCGATAATATGAGGGACATGTTACAACACTATGCAGATTGATTGTGATGAGGATAAAATAAGTCACCACTACCTTCATAATTGCACGTGTCCCCAGATTCGCCGTCAAATGAAGGCAACTGTTCCACTCGTGCTTTTCGTAACCAACCAGGAGGGTAGCCTAATGTCCGCATCCGGTATATATGCAAAGGTATGTCGTACTTAGACAAGGAAAGAGCTTTTCGGAGTTCGCGTCTACAGCATTATTTGAAACAAAATACATACGATATGCATCCAGGCCTCATATTGGAAAAATTTTCGGCCTCATGGTAGCGTTTTAGGGCAGATAACCGTCTGCAACCTTTAGGTACCCCAGGAGACCTAGCAGATAACTCGTAAGCATTGGATCCATCTACACAGCGATCGTTCACTGAGTCATAAATAATGTCAGTCTTATTTAATCTTCTAAGTTATTAAAGATTAAAAAGAACAAAAAAACCACTTGTCTACTCCTCCGGTATCAAGAAAAAAAACAGGATCCATTCCACAGAGCACTAAACTGGCGGACAAAATGTGCTGGCTTAGTAACAGTTTAATTGGGCAAGAGAGCAATAAGGGAATATCCAAATATTCCTTCGCATGACAAAGAGCATAAATATTGGAACCTCACTACAAATATTAATATCCAGTTTCTTTCCTAAACAAATTAATGTTGATAGTGTGTTAAGCATCAAAACTTAAAGAGTTGCTTTTAAACGTTTTGGAACTAGATGCGTCATGTTAGACAAAGAAATTTGGCTTAAATTGACACACGAGACAATTTGTTTGCATAAGTTATTAATTTCTAAGGCAAACATTGATCAAATGTGTTAAGGTATTTTTGCAACAAAACATTGGGGAGGCGAATATGGAATTAAGCATCTTTAAATCTTCTACTCAATTTTGTTAGAAAAAGTCATTTGATGTAATCCGTATTGCTTTTGTATTGTAGCCATATTACAGAAGTGTTCAGTTATGCTTTATTAAGAGTTTATCTACACTTAAGTGGTAGTTATTACAAAAGTGTTCTAGACTCACTTTATCGACAAACAATTACTCATCCTATAGAACACGCAGCCACCATTCGAGGGACACACTTTGCGTGCCAACGTTATACTTTTTACTTTTTATCATTATGGTTTTAAGTTTAATAATCATGCTCTTTAGCATTAGTTCGCCAAAAAATATTTGTATTGCTCTATGTAGCCACCGAAATATTGCCAAATTGTTGGTATCGCTCTCAAAAAAATACTCAGGATTTGTGATGATTTCAAATTCGTTTACTATTTATGTCTCAGGATATCAGATAAAAACTGTGCGATATACTGCGCTTATTATATTTAAGCTGTAAACATTTTTGGCTGTTTTCAATCTGAAATTCGATAAAGTGAAAATAAATAAAACATTGTTAGTTAAGGTGATATATGCAAAATAAATAAATTAGTCTTTAGAAGTGCAGAAATGTTTTTAAATCATCATATGAATTTTTATCCGAAGAAAAAAATTATATTATCAATCCTGCTAAACAAACTTTCACTTAGTTTTAGTGTGCTGAAAAATCCAATCAGTGAGCTGCTGTTTTGTGTGTCAATTCTGTTGCCGTGTACGTGATGTGTGCTCGTCCCGTTAACTTGAGAGATAACGCTGTACGAGAAGTTACTTTTGTAAATTGTTTATAGACCATTAACGCCGCAACTCGGCAAGGTATCGAAATTCAAACTGAAAAAAAGTGGGCTGCTGGATCTAACAAGCAGCACGTCAATTCCAAGAATATTAATAAATTGGATGAAGAAACTGAGGACTTTCATCATGCTACAGTTCCGCTCGATGTCGGACGAATAATTATGCAAGGTAGACAGGCTGCCAATCTTACTCAAAAAGAACTTGCTACTAAAATTAACGAAAAGCCGCAAGTACGTAAATGAATGCCCTCGTGAACACCTCTACTAGATAATTGCTGAGTATGAACAAGGAAAGGCTATCCCTAACCAGACTATCTTGACGAAATTGGAACGGGCCCTTGGAATTAAGCTTCGTGGGAAGGACAAAGGCGCCCCCTTGAATAATGCCCCAAAGAAATAAACAGCTCATTTTTTCAGGTGTCATTAATGTGATTGGGGGATTGTAGGCCGTATTACATATGCTTATCCTCTAATTTTGTTGTTAAGCTTAAATAAAACCCCTGAAGGTGATATGTCCGAGAATGTTGTGGGACCGGAAATATCCAAAATATGTTCTTGTTTTTTGTATCGCTCGAGCGACTGTAAATTAGTGCCACGACCTAGCTCCGAAAGCTGTGGTATAAGTCGTCAAATCGTCCAGAGTGACTGTCCGTTTCTCTTTTGGCACACAACTTTAGACTAAGCATATATGAACGGCCCAACATTTAGTAATAGTTACTAGCTCAACGTCCTTCGATAGTGCATGCTTCTTCTGTGTTTCTAGCGGTGCAGTACTTTTCACTATGGCCTATTGATGACACTAGGTAAAATCCGACTGTAGTAGTCCTAATTGCGGTCGCCAGTTGGATTTTTACATTCCGTGGGGCGTGTATTGCACGGTTAACCTTCCTGGGTTCGACTAGCTGAGTCGCATTGTTTCCGCTCTCCCTGATTTAGTGTAGGCATTCTTTGCTTGGTGGAACCTGAGGACAGCGAAGACGAGTAAAACCGTAGCCGACCCCAATTGTGTTAAAAGTCGTTATTATTTCTAGCGATTATGCCACCTGAAATGGAAACGTGGGCTACCTTTGCTCACTTGCTTTCCGCGGATTTGAAAGGATGGAGTCTGACACCAGTTTCAATTTTCTTGGCATTGCTTCACTAATACTACCACACAATTTGGGCTTCTTTCGGAATTTTCGGTGCTCAGCATAGTGTCGTGGCTGAAACGATGACCATTTTTTCAGGTACAATCGTCATGACAATCTAACATCGAATGTGTTTCATAATTTTACGGTCGTGTTGGCCCCATAGTTGTTTGTTTCGGGAGAAAGGAGTCTCCTGGTTACGTACCCACTAAACTACATCAAGGACCAAATGTTGATGATATTTGGTAGCGATGACATCTTGATTCATTGCCGTTTAGTCGGTCACGTGATAAATAGCTATGAGTGGCTAGGAAAACTCACAACTTATTGGTTCTTTGATCTCTTGGCTCGAAGTGAACCGCTTCTCATTATCCTTGAAGAACATTAGCTTTAGTGTCACCGTGAATCCGGATGGGAAAGTCTACGATTAGCCCTCTGTTACTAGGCCCGATCAGCTAAGCTCAGGGTTCTATGTTAAAATGGCTTTGTTATGACTTAGTATGCGGTGCGACTTACACACTCCTTTAGTCATTTTGCTTATATATCAGTGAGGGGTTTGGTGTTCTTATCAGACTTAAAGAGACAAGCAAAGTAAACAAATCCAATTACCATTTCTCTTGGGATATCAACCTGTACTGTCGCTTCCACAAGATTTATCTAATAACATCAGGGACTGTACGTAGCATAGGGTGTTACGAACGCATCACAATCGTCAGCTTAAAATATTTTTTGCCAAAGGAGTTTTGGCAAAATGGAAAACAATGGGCCCATTGGTTAAATTGTTCTAACATTTTAACAAGGGAACAGCGCCTATGCATACTTGAATTAAATAATATGGACAGAAATTATTTCAAAGCATCCATTACAAGTGTCACTAGCGGTAAAAAGGTAAGGTTCTTTGTTATCACTAAATCAACATCAGGCTCGAAATTAAAGTTGAATAGAATTCAGTAAGTCCTGTCGGAATTGTGGCCGTGGTGCGTAAGTTTACCCAGAAACGTTTGTACTGCATTATTTTACACATTCCGCTGTAGTCAAGGATGGCATGTTAATTTTACTCAATTTATAACCAATTTCTTCAGGAAAGTCTTCGTCGAATCATTCCAGCTTTATTTAACTTAAATGCTTTTCCATTACAAAGAGACTTTTTTGATTTCATCATCTCTTGAAACACCGCACGCGACCTCACCACGTGACACCATTAAACCAATCAGCAACAAAACACGGTAGCTGATTATGGTAGTGCGGATTTGTCGGTGCACAAAGCCTTGACGTCAATAAATCCATTTTGCGGAGAAATGTGAAATTGTAGCCAGTATGCAGCATCCACGCTTTGCTACGTGCGTACTACTTTAAAACGGGAGTTTAATGATTAACCAGTCATCATTTTGTCACTCTTACCACGCCTTAAAATGTAGGGTCTCAAAGTTGGAATGTTGGCAAATTGCTTATCAACTTTACCTTAGAGAGGAATTTTTGGTCCTTGACATGAGGATGAATTGATTCTGACCCATCCTGTCACCGCCTCTACTTCATACTATTTAAGAGTGGAGAAATCGCAGATGAACTTTGAGCTAAACGCGTTTGAGAATAACCGTCTGGCTTCCATTACGCAATGCAATGCGAAATTCAACTCCATGGTGATTACGATTCAACGAGCTTATTAAATTTTTACAGGAGTAATAGTGGATGAATAACCACGTCCTAGTCTATTCATAATCGAGTGGTTTTTGTTAAATTGACTTATTTTTGCAAAATGAATCAAAGCATTCTGGAAGAACACCTGCAAACGGCGTATTGATTACCACCCAATCTGATTCAATTCAAGCAGTGAGATCCTCAAATGGAAGCCTCGAAGGTCTTTTTCCACAATATTCTAACGTAACTTCCTCTTCAGCAAAAATTACATGCAATTTTTTGAATGGGATTCTGGTTACCTCAGACAAACAACTAATTAAAAGCACGTCACGAAGGTCACTCAAAAATCAGCGTATAAATTGAAGTTTAGGCACATAGTTTGCGAAAGTGGGTACATTTCCATTAGCCTCAGTGACTGCCTTAAACATACCAGACTAGCATAGGCATTGATTTTTCAAGCAATTCAGGTAAACATTTCAATATCAACTGCAATGGAACACAATCAAAAATGATAATGGCAATATTTATAACAAGGATGATCATTATTAAAGTGAAATTCAGATTGGAAAACATGTAAGAAAAAAATGATAACAAACATTAACTTCGAACAGCAAATGAATCACTGCAAAAATGATTAATTTTTCCAACAGCCACACACATTAGTTAATTAGGAACGGCCTTATATTTCGCAGCTGGATTTAACAGCAAACGTCTGAATCTGGATTGATAGTGCCCAGTTAATGCTGAACCCACTCGACCATCTTCTTACCCACTCCAAGCTGTCGCGAATGCCTAACTC